CTAGAGAAGGGGTGTTCAGTGGGCTGGCTGAGGACTCTGGTGGTTTGGAAACCCTGGGCTGGGATGTTGTGTTTGCATGCACTGGGGCAGCTGCCATGGCAGCTCTGGCCCCAGAGGTGGTTGACTTTGCAGTGGCAGCTGGAAAATACCACATAACACCTTGCAGGCACTCTGGGAATGCCCTTGCTCACCTCCTGTGGCCTACTGTGCTTTGTGCCTCTTGGTCATCTGTGCTTAGGTTTGCAGTTTGTTGTGGGATGAGGGCTGCATGTCGGGGAGAGGAAGCCTGGATGTCTTGTGGGGCTTCCAGAACCAAAGCACCCATCGTACAGCGGCTCCAATAGCAGGGGATGGGGCTCAACAGTGCAGTAGCTCCTACAGTCCTCCACCCCTGCCACGACACCTTGGGCTGTCCTGTGGGCACAGCTTCATAGTTTTCCCCACTTGAGTGAGGCAAACAGGAAGCCAAATTCAATCCAGCTTAACCAAAAGCAGAACTTATTGTTGCTCTATGACATTTTGATTGGTAACACAAATTTGGGCTGCCTTCTCTCGCTCCTCCATTTCATGCTGCATCCCCGGTACCAGCAGCCCAGACATGTTGCAGATAACCGCATGAAGGCTGTACAGCTCAGCCATTTTGATCAGTTCGTGTAGGACTGCTACAGGAAGGAAGAGACCAGAGCCTTAAGGAGATGACAGCAACTTTATTTGATTTATGAGGTTTAGCTTTTGATACAAAGCTCCACCTACTTAGCAACATACGAGTGTGTTTGTGGGTTTACAGATTTACTTCAGTGCTCCAGCAGACCATCTTCCCCTTCTGCTACTCCTCTGGAAATAGTTCAAGTCAGTGTGTTGTGCACATAATTGATACTGGCTTTCCCAGCCTCCAGAAATCATATTAAAAAGATAGGCACAACCTGTGGGGAGGGATTTTTCCAGCTTAAAGTGAGAGGATTTGAGGGAGACCATGTGGCTACTCCAACTGAGTTTTCCACACATGCATTTTGTTTATGTTGTGCATGTGCAAAACATGTCAGAAAAAAGCCCTCAGGGGAGTTAGGAATCTGTCCAGCATGTGGCAAATCCCCAGCACAATCCAGTCCTCCTTCTCCATGCTGCTGCCATTCCTAGGGTCCCCTTCTCCACAAGGCATTTCTGCAGCAGGAGCCCGAGGTAAAATGGGGTATTTAGATAAAGGGTCAAGACACCAGCTTTCACAAACAGAGGCCTAAAAGCAACCTCAAATAGCACATAGGTATTGAAAGCCAACATGGTGCTCAAGGTGAAGGGCAAGGACACCCTGCGTCCCACAGGTTGACCGACCCAGTTCTCTTTCAGGGCTTGCTGTGACTCCCTGGAGCTGGTTGGAAGACATTTTCTTTGTCTACCAGTCCTGCATGTCACCATGGAATTCAGCCCCTTTTCACAGGGGGTTGTTAAAATGAATATACATTTCAACACTCCTTCAGCTCACCTCATAGCCCCAATAACAACGGTGTAATATTTTAAACTGCTTTTGCAAGTCTCCTTTCTACAGGGCAGTTGAAAGGATATAAAAGCATTTTAACAATTCTATAGATCATCTCCGGAGCGCTTTTGTGATGTGGGAGAACAGAAGTTTTGTTGCCATTTGCCCGTGGACAGCTGCCAAACTCACCTGTCTCCACCGAGCCTGCGAGGGGCATATCACATCTCTCTGGAAACTCTGCGGCCAGCCCCGGATGGCTTCTCACTTTACTCAGCCGAAAAACATGTTGCACAATTTAACCCTTTGCCCGTGCACTTGCCTGGGTGTGTTACTCAAAACTGGCAACTCATTCTGTTTGGGCTTAAGGAAAGTAATAGCTGCTAGGTGGTTTTGGAGAAACCTAAAACCAGGACTTTCTTGTGAAAAACCTTCACGCTTGTGAAAAGTCTTCTAACCCTGCAAGTCATCCTACTGACTTCAGTCAAGCCTTGAACTGTCCACACCTCTCCTTTTGCCACTCCTTAATCACAGTTAACCAGCTCCAAATTTGACCCCTTTTTAATAGGCTCCAATTCGACAAGGTACTTAAGAATTTGTCTTTCCGACTAAAGTTTTACCAGCCTAGTTGCATGTTCAAAGTAAGGCATATTTTGGAGCATCTGAAGCCAGAAAGTGGTGGCTTGATCCTGTGTATAAAATACAAAGCTAAGGATTAGAAGAGATCTGCCACTGACTACATCTTCTTACGGGTCGCTTAATTTTGCAGGGTCCTACTTCTAATCTCAAAAATGGCCATTAAAACCCTCCCATGCATATGGTTGACACAGAAGAACTGAGCAGCTTTGTTTGTTAATGTTCAGGAAATATTTGCAGATCCTTGTGTGGAAGGTGTGACAGAAGTATACTGTAATCTACTCCCTTATGTATGAATTTCTCTTTTTCCCTCCCTACAAATGAATATTTACGTTCTCCACCCTCCTCCTGTCCTGGAAAGAAAAGTGCATAAAATTATTCCCCATCACATTCTTTCACTGACTTGGCAAAATACAGAGAAACACAGCAAGTTTAAATGATATGGAATATGCAGGCATAGCTTATCTAAGATCAAGTGTGCAGATCAAAATCAACAAAGACTCACAAAAGAAAGACCCAAAAGATCTTTCATCTGCCTGATCCCGTTTCCCTGCCTACACCTCTTTTTACCCTACTGTAATGTATTAGTTCTGCTTTAATTTCTGCTCTGCGCAACATTTCTGCTTAAGAAAGATTCTGTTGAGTCATTACCAGCATCAGCCAAACAGGCTTTTCAAGAATGGAGGAGAAAATAAAGGCTGTGGTTTTTAAATTAATTCCATGCTGCTTAACCCTTAAACCTCTAGTGACTTCCAGACTTCCAACCAATTTAATGCTGAGCAGAATATGTAGCTGTTGTGCCCAAGATGAGAGCACTGTCAGTGCTTCTCTTGGTGACCACACCAGAGAGAGAGACCTGCCACAGCAGTATCAACAACTTTCTCCTAGCAGCTCATTAGATACCGGAAAAGGCAGAGATGCTACTGGTGGTGTGGGGTCAGGCAGGTCAGACACAGCCTCTGCCAGGGTCCCTTCCCCTCAACCAAAGAGCATCAATATCTACTGGAGTTGCTGGTGGAGAGTGACTCATCCCAAGCCAGGCTTGGCACCAGCCGCCCTGCACCCAGGGGGTGCTGCAGTGAGCAGCCCCCATCCTCCCATGCCCACACACCTTGCCCTGCCCACCCTGGTCACTGCTCAGGCAGTGCCAGCCATGCACCTGAAAGCACTCAGGCAGAAATTGTAGTGAAAGGCTATACTATCCAACCCATACTCTAAATACTGCCTCCTTGCTGCTTGAAAATACTGCCTCAGATAACCCACACCCACACAAAAGAAGAGACAGGGAGAGGGAATTTTGCTACTAGAAGATAGTAGTCATGAAAGTAGAAATGAAAGAGAGAGGAGCACATCTCTCCCTTCACGAGGTAGAAGAGATACTCCAGTCCCCCTTCCTCCAGCAGGTTGTATATAGGAGAGAATAGTGGTTGCCAAAATGATATAACTTGAATAAGCTCCTGGTACCTTGAGGTTTGAGGGGCCCCCAGGGGAGCAGACACTTGGAGTGAGAAAAGGCAGAGGAGGGGAAAGCGGATAAGGTGGTTTTCTTTGCCTTGGTTTTTAAAGCAATCTCAGCCTGCTAAACTTTCAGTCCATGCTGCCAATGGCTATTTCCAAAGTTATCTTTGCACAGGAAAAGGCTGGAATCCTTCTCCCTCTCTTCCCCCCCCCCCCCTATTCTCTCTGTCTCCCTTTTTAATGAAAGCTCAGTTTAGATCTGATATCACTTTAAAAGGTTTGCTATCAAAGTTTATTAGACCCACTGGGACAGATCACAGTTTTCAGAGGCTCAGAGTTTCACAGCAGATAACTGTAAAGTGAACCATCCAATGTTCTTCAAAATGCTCATTTTTCTTGGACTCATCTATTACACAAAGCCGCACTGTATTCAAGCATCCTTAGAAGCGATTCCAGTTGCTTACAGGATGCTGGCCACAGTTTTGCCTTTAGAGCAAAGTAGAGCAGTCAACAGTCCTCAGCCTGTCCCACTGGCTGATGCTAAGGTGAGCGGGATGCCATTTGCAGTGAAGGCAAGCCCTGCCAGCACAACAGGATAATGCCTGCTTTGGGCTCCTAGATAAAGGCCAGGATTTCAAAAAGCAGTAGAAAGTATGAGAGCAGTGTCCCTTTAAAAATCCAGGTTTGCCTTTCCCTGCTTAAAAGTAATAATAACTAGAAAAGACTCCTCTGCCTAGGGACTATGCCTGAGAAATTTCAGCTGTAAAGGAAAGACATGAGAGGAGGGATTAGCATGTCAAGCTTCCTACAAAATGGTTGTTCTTTTTTTAATGAAGTCATTGGTATTATTATGTGGTTTTTAGTAGTTTATCCTCCTAACAATGCATGGGAATAAACACCGTATCTGGTAGGATCTCTGACTGTAACATGTATCACAGAGGCATCTATTTACAGGGTGAAGGGAGGGGAGCTCTTTCATTTCCCAAGACAGTAATGGAAAGCATGATGTCCTACAACTAAGGGTGGTGAAGCACTGGGAGAGGTAGTGGGAAAAAACACTCACGATAAACCGAAGAGCAAAAGAGAGTTTCGGGGCAGATATTTGCAGGATGCATCATCACCAAGAGAAGTTGGCAACCCTGGGAATAGACTGAGAGACAAAATGGCTGACTCAAGTGGCCCAATGCTCGGGCCACCAATGTCCTGTCCTTCTGCTGCCACTTCACATGGCTTTACACCCTCCCCTGTGACTTCGTAGCATCATTCAACCTTTCTACAGCAACAGGCTAGACAAAACTTGGAGGAACTGGTGGTTCTCAGATGCCAACGCTTCCTGCCAGGCTTTATCCTCCCAGAGCTTTTGGCTAGTGAGTGCCTCTCACCAGAAGCATGTGCAACCATTTGACAGCTCATCTGCTTTCTGATTCCTTAACAGGTCATGCAGATGGACCAGAAGCTAGATGACATCCTGAACACGCTCCAGGCTCAGTTCGGGGATCAGCCACAGGCACAGATGTCAGGGCCAGCCACCCCATCTGTCAGACAGCTACAGACAACCTCGGATTCCCCCCCAGTGAACCGGAAAATTTGAAAGCCGGAGGACAGCCACATGCCACCCTCTCATTCTTTTACGTCCAGTTATTTTTAAGTCTTGGTGTCTCAGGATTCGTCTGTGTCATGGGTGAAACGAAATATTCTGCTGTAGTAGATTAAATAAAAAAATGAGAAGCAGCAGCAAGAAGCCAGTCACGACCCTAAGAGAGCACATAAGTTTTGCACCTGGTTTATTAGCCATCATTAGCTAACCTCTGTCAGCCTATGGTGGTCCCATGCAGCTAGCCCCATTTAGGCTGACTGCACACGCACAGGGCACTCTGTTGAAGTAAGCATCCAAGCGAGGGTTAGGATGACCCATTTGTGGGTGCGGAAGGGGAAAAGGACTGTTTTTTTGGCATTTAATCACTAAGTTTAATGCTCACAGCATGCCCAAAAGGGGGAAAAGAGCCAGCATTTGAACATGAAACAAATGGAAATCAGTGAACAGGAAAATTAAACAGCATGTTTTGACTTCTACCAAGCAGTGAGGATCATAAGAAGGGCAGATTTATATGCTAGTGCGAATGACAAAGTAAAAACAACAGGCTACTGATTAAAAATATGGAAGTGTACACAGGCTGGTTGACATATGAAAGACTGAAGCAAAGACTTCAGCTAATTAAAGCAAAGGGTTGCAAATGAGATGAGATGCATGTTGGAACAGACAGGCAAGAGAGATAGTATCTGCGTAGGCTTACTGCACAAGAACACTGTAATAGCTATCAGCTACGCTGATGACTGTTATGCAAAATGTTCTCAAGCTTTTACCTTCATTCAGCAGTGGTTGTTGACTCCGGTTCCCTTAATTTTAACATAAGAAACCTGTATGGTAATTGGCTGTGAAATATCTGTAAAGCTCGGTTCAAGTCACTGAGTAACAGGGTGCTGCAGGAGGGCTGCAGCTGTGGTTGAGAGTGGCAGGGTTTCTTAAAACAAAAATGCACATACTGTTGATGAAAGTTAATCGCTGTTTAAATAAACTGCTGTATATAATTTTAAATGCTAGATTTTTTTTTCCTTATAATCTGGTTGTAAATCAAGTGCATATCTGGCTGATATACTGTCACTGTGAAATGGATCTTACCTGGCACTCCAGAAAAGGGATGATACAACACTGTTGCTAAATATGTAAATAATAAACCAAGCTAAAAAGGGTGCAGTGTTATTTACTCAAGTCTTTTTAATGTATTTGCATAACTAACCATTTGAATGAGCAGAAGTCTGCAGAGCAAAGACCTGATTCCTGGGAAATCCTAAATCTGTTCTATTCCCACTCATATCTATGGAAGCAAAGCCTGCACTGCATTTAAAAGCAACCTGAAAGACTGGTCCCTTAATAAGCATTTATTTGGACCAATGACTGGTCCATTTCAATGTAATCAAATTAGCTTCTAACTATTACCTGTCCCTTTAAAACTCTATCCCAGGTTTGTGTGTCTGGGAATTTAAGCTTGGAAAGAGCACAATGAGACTGATTCCAATCTTTAGATTGCAGGCGTGTCTTAGACAGAATATTAATGATGTGTGAGAGGCAATAAAAAAAAAAGCAATGTGGTTTTAATTAAATCAGCTGACAAGCCACCATTCCATCTTGTCTGATTACTACAGAGTTACTGAACATGACCAAATACAGCATGTAACATGGGAAAATGGTAAATAATCATTGTCAGAGCATTGAGTTGCTCCTGACTTTGAGTCAGGGTCATGAGCTTCTGCAATGGTCCTTCATATAACCTCATTGGCCACTTGGAGCTAAATGGGCAACTGGACACCAAAGGTAGGTACTGTTTTCATCAGCCACAGGTAAAAAAATCTCCTGGGGATCCCTTTGCCACAGAGGTTCAGAAGACAAGCAATGCAGCTTTCAGCAGAAGGGCTCAGGGACTTCTATAGCCGATACAAGGTGAAACTTCCTTCTGGTACACTACAGAGATTTGTGTGAGGGGTATGTGTGGTCACTGTTTTGTGGACCGAGGAATGCAACAGTATTTTACTTACTAATGAGTCTCAGTAGAAGTGTTAAGGCACTATACATACAGTAACACTACTCTGAAGTGCCTGGAAAACACACTGAAGGCCCTTCCCCGGAAAATTCAGTTAAACAAAATAAAAGCGGTCTCAGCTACAGAGAGTGTCAGAAGGGATGAGTGGGTGGGAGGAAAGGATAAAGAGGCCCACAGTGGTCCCTTCAGAAAAAAAGAATGTGCGCAAGTGTGTGTGCATGTGTGTGCACGTGTCTTTTTTTTTTTACCACAAGCCAAAGCTTCCCCCAGAGCCTGAGCCTTCAAGGGTTTGAAAATCCAGCAGTGCTGGCCAGCTGTCTGCTTTATGGCTGGCCACTGCAAACACTGCCGTGTGGCATAACATGTTCAGACAGAACCATCAACATGTGACCGCAAGGATCACTGTTGCCACGAAGGAGAGATAAGGGTGTGGCCTGAACAAATTGCAGTGAGGAAGGAAGAAGGCTGGTGGGAGACACCCATTTTCACACCGTATGATGAGATTAATGGTAAAAAAATAAAAGCAACATAGCTTAGCCTTACTTAAGCAAATCTCCACACCCACAGCTAAGACAAGGGTTGCCATCTAGCAAAACTTTTCTGGTTTCCCAGGGGCAAAAGTATCCAGGAGTAGCACTGATGTGACTATCTGGTAATACTACCTGACCCTTCTTCTGAGCAGAGATGGTTTTGCACACTGAACAGACTGCATATTAATACATTTGCATGTCATGAGTATTTTGAGTGCCCCTCTACCAAGATGTGCTATCAGCAAACATTCAGCAGCAAGCTATGATTTCCCAAGGCAAGAACTGACTTCTACTCAATGTGTTTTTGTCAGGCCTCACCATCCACTAAGCAGGTAGTAACAGCATCAGATCTAGGACATTGTGAATGTAGCGACAACGAATTGGAAAGAGCAGGGAAGAAGCGTAGGGATGAGCTTCAGGAAGCTCCAAAAACTTCAGGAGTCCTCTTGCAATCACAAGTCCCATGAAGTCATGAGATGATCTAGTCTATCAAGGAACACTATCAGAAGACCATCAGGTGCAGCATGGCAGGATTTGCAAACTGCTAACTTTGCTAACTGCAGCATGGATTTCTTGGAGAAACACCACCAAAAGTATCTTCTAGAAGAGTTCCTTCTAAGGGAAACGTCATAATTTGTCTTGCATGTGATTGGAAAGAAATTAAATTCTTCATGAAGATTATATGCTCCCACAGTTGACTGCCTTGATCCAGCTGCCTGACTTGCCTGAGATTCCTGTTACATGCTGGAGTCCTTCAGGGAATAAATATGCAGCATAGCTGCAGAGGAAAGTTTGACTCCTACGTATGCCATTATTTAAGTAGTTATGTGAAATCCTGGTTGGAAGATGATTAGTAGAGGCCTTGTCCAAAACTCTAACTTCTGTACAGGCTCGTTAAAAGGAAGAGAGCAAAGGTGGACTTACAAGAAGAATTCTGCCTGTGCATTATCTTTTTGAAAATCATGAGTATCATAGAATCACAGAATCACAGAATTTGGAAGGGACCTTTAGACCTTTAAAGGCCATCTAGTCCAACCCCCCTGCC